ACAAAATAAAGGAAGGAATAAATAGTGGAGGAAAAGGAAACTTACATATACTGAGTGGTGAGAATAGTAAATGGATGAAGTACACTGTGGAAATAGTATGGAGGATCTTCAAAAATTAAAAATAGAACTATCATGTGATCCAACAATTTTGCTTCTGAGTATTCACTTAAAGAAAGCAAAATCACTATTAAAAAAATGTAAATACGCACCATGTCCATAGCAGCATTACTTATAATAGCCAAGACATCGAAACAACGTAAATGTCTATCGATGAATGACTGGATAAAGAAATGTAGTGTATACACACACACACACAAAATGGAATATTATTCATCCATAAAAGTGAGTGAAATCGTGCCATTTGTGACAACATGGATGGATCTAGAGGGCATTTTGCTCAGTGAAATAAGTCAGAAAAAGTAAATACTGCATGATTTCACTTACATGTGGAACCTACAAATCAAACAGAAACAAAACAAACCAAAAAGCAAAAACCTGGTGCTGATGAATATAGAGAACAGATGTATTTATCATATCAGAGTATATCAAAAGATACATTCATTTTTTTACACCATATTTTGCCATTCACTACATTTCCTGGTCCTCTTGGGTTTGTGCTGGCCTCCTATCTGACAGGTATGTCTTCCATGATTTTGTCCATGTTTTATGAAAGGTTAAATGTAACAGAGTACAACACAAAGCCTTATAGCTATCTCTACAACCCTCCCTCCAATTCGAAATTAGCTGGGGCCTCAACACTCTTTGGGTATAGTTGTTTGAGTAACAATAAAAGCACATTCGTCACACAGTGCTGACTACTGTCCATAAAGATATTGAAGAGAATCATAAAATGTCTCCCTATAAAAGTTCTCACACATTTTACTATCTTTTGCCCCCAACACCTTCACCACAATGTCTCCGGTCAAGATAACAAAGGAACATTTAATTTTTCACCCTCTTCTTGACTCAGCAACATGTGATGGGGTTGATCACTTCCACTTCTTTGAGTCACTTTCTTTATTTGCCGTATTGTTCTGATTTTCTCCCTGTGTAACTTGAAAGTTCATCATGGTCTCATTTCTTGATTCCTTCAACTTCTGCTTTTAAAGTTAGAGTGATCTAGGGCTCAGTCTCTGAAAGTAGTCTTTTGTCTACACCACCTACTCCTGTTGATATTATCCAGGCTAATGGCTTCAAATCCTTTCTATACATTAACGATTCCTGAAAGTCCTTTTCACACCTCTGCTCAAACTTCAGATTCATATTTTCAACCACCAACTCTATTTATCTTCAATATTTAACAGGCACCTCAAACAAAATATTTAAATGGATCCTCCTCTCCTACAGTGCTTCTCCCACAGTGTTCCCCATTTCATTTAACATCCTTCTAGTTCCTTGGGCAAAAACGACTACGTCATCTCTTTCTTTATCTTACCCCTTACAACTAGTATGAAGCACATTTTCTCAGCCCTACCCTCAAAATAAATCCAGAGTCTCACCATTTCCCAACATTTCCACTAGACTATCACTGAGCACATATCACTGCATTTTATTGCCTGAAATATTTCAATGTCTTAGTTGGTCCCCCTACTCTTATCTTCACTCCCTTAGAGATTATTCACAATGCAATAACTGAGTGACCCTCGTAAAATCTAAGAATTATGCTGCTTACCCGCTAAAACTACCCAGTAGTTTCTCATCTCATAATAAAGGCCAGTCATTGTCATGGTCAACATGATCTCACATGATTTTGCCCCACAATTACATCTGTGACCTTATCTCCTGTAGTTCTCCCTCTGAAACCTTCTCTCTCAGCCATAGTGTTCTCATACTATTTCTTAAGCATCATAAGCACACCCAACAGGTTGTTGGTCTTCTAGCCTGGAATGCTCACTTCCCTCACTTCCTTCATGTTACTTTCACAGTGAAGGTTCCTCTGACTACCCTATTTAAAATTATACTTTAGCCACTACTGCCATCCAAGCATCTTTACTTTTCCTATTTATTTTTCTCAATAGTATTTATCATCATAGGACATAGTATTATTTCACTTGTCTATTCTGGCTTTTGTCTGCATGACTCATTTAGAATTAAATTATATTATGGCATTATTTTTTGTTAGTTTTGCTTACTATTATATCCACAACAGTAGATTAATGCATAACACATGGCCCTTAATAAATATATGTTGAATGAGAAAGAAAATAAAGTGAATAAGTGAGAAATAAAACACTTTTATTCTGTATTATTTGTTTTTAGTATACCTGCTATAGTTAACAGTGATTGTCTCTTCATTTTCATTAAACATTCTGCTTAAAACTTTATCTGTAAATATGCTAACTTGTAAATCAGTAATACCTATATTAAATATTAAATATTTATTAATAGAGATGTTTGTTCTAGCTTCTTTTCCATGCTGCATATTTTCTTAAGGCCAATTGGTGTCCTGAGGCCTCCTTCAGGCAATTTTAATATTCTATGGTAAAATTCTTCTAAATGTGAAGATTCAAATTTATCTGAAGTGGCCAGGAAGTAATTTTATCTGTATATTCCAAATTTCTTACCCAGGTTGGTTCTAAAATTTCCACTTTGAAGAACTTTTTCCCTAACAGGGAAAGCAAAATGCAATATTATTTAGGAAACATAACTTTTTAAAAATGATTATTATTAAATCATCTTCCCTAGAAGTAAGAAGCAGCAAAAGCCTACTTCTTTTGATTTTTCCAATAAATGTGATATTAAAAAGGCATTAAGCTAATCTCTGTTCATTTTTGATTCATGGCTATTGTGCTTCTGGTTAAATACATGCACTTAAACAATCTCTGAATGTTTTCCTCATTTGGTTTATATTGGATTGTTTAAAGGACTATATTTTTCCTGCCTCATTGGAATCTTTTGTAATTGTAGCTTTTTCATGTGATTCTACAACTTTTATAACTTCTTACCCTGGAGTACAAGTCATCTTTTATTTAAGTGGTGAAGTCTGCTTTCCCATAGTCCAAGGTAGTATATCTTGTGGTATCAGTGAACATTTTCATCACTAATAATACAAGATAGTCATTTCCATGCCATCAATTCATATCAATCTTTCCTAGTTAGTTAAAATTAAGTGCCCAGTAGAGGTTCTCTATTCTAACCTTCTGAGAAATTAAATTGTCACCAAGACAATTACAAAAATTAATTAGGTGCTATCTTTTTCATACAACTTCTAGTGAGTTCCCATAATTACTCTGTCTTGGGTCTATGTCAGCTTTGTAATCCATTTTAGGAAATAGTCATTCATGTTACTCTTCCTTTTATGTGTTGGGACATTTTTCATCTATTTTTATAAGAAATACTCCATTTATTTCACTTTTTTTTATTTCACTCAATATTTATCAAAGTTCTTTTACAATCAGCTTTATGGAGTTCCACCTAAGTATAGGATTTCTTGTGATTTGATGCCTTTCTCTATTCTTCTATTCCTTTTAGACAAGTTAAGACTTTCTCACTGCCATACCCCAGTCAAATTTCCATCCCACAAGTTTATGGTGTTATCTAGGAAACTACATCTTTTCTTTATGTTAAAAATTTAAATTCACTTTATTCTCTCTCTCTCTCTTTCTCCCTCCATCTCTCTCTCACCAGCATCCAAGATGTCCTGTCCTACTGCTTGCAAGTGTCAAGAACTTTACCTTTCAACTTCATTTTCCCCATCTGTACAAAGGAATGATAATACTGACCTCAAAATTCAGTTGTGAAGATTCAATGAGGTAATGTCGGCCAAGTGTTCAGCCTGACTCTTGATGCATGGTAGGCCTTCAGTAAGTCTAGCTCTCTTCGCTTTGAATCCAAGGCTGAATAAGACATCCTTCTCTTCTCCTAGTGGTAGATGAGTTGGCATCATCATCCACACAGTGATGATGACTGATTGCCTCCATTTCTGTTTAGTTTGATCTTCTGTGAAACCTGTGCTTATGGGGAATGTGCAATCACACAAATTTTCCTTTCAAGATTATAAAATAATAAACCTAACTGGAGGGCCATTTAGAAATATAGATGCAAGAAATGCAAATTCTGTGGACCCGAAAATATTTTGAATGAATGTTTAAAATGATTTGAAAAATTAACATGAATGGTGATAATATCCATCATTATTCACTGTATTCTATAAATATCTAGTACAATTGAATAAACTACACCAAATACTTTTTAAGATCTTTTTTCAATAAATATCATGTAGAATTTAAGACACTTCCAAAACTTTACCTCTCCAGTTATACATATATTAGCTGAACACAGTAAGATTTCTGAGCAGAATAAAGAAAAGTTAGTATTTTAGTATCTGAAATATTTAGAAGTTTGACCAATATATTCAAAACATTGAGTATATTTTATTTTTATTTTGCATGATCAAATACTAATGATACCCTCTCTATATTTTTTATACAAAAATTGAACATTCTTAATTTCAGGTACTGGGGATTATTACAATTACAAAATTCTCTTGACATAAAAGTGTGTGAAACGAAGATAAACCAATTTTTCACAGAAACTCAACAATACAATCTGCATAAGATTGTTTTGCATTGAAGAGTAGTTTTCATTCTGAATTAGTCAGAAAATTTCTTGCCGTCTCATATTTCCTATGAAAATATAGTTTATGTTGATTGAAAACTAGTCAACAGTTAACCATAAGAACTAATTTTAATACATGATTAGTTTGTTTCACTGACCTTTTGTTATTATCTGATAAATAAAACCAAATGTGCATTCACTCATTCATTCATTCATTCATTCACTTATTCACCAAACACCTAAAACATAGGGTATTATGTTCCATTTAATTTTCTTTGAGATATCAATGATCTGTCTAAATGTTTTCTATTTTTATATTATATGAGAACTCATCTAAAACAGATCTTTAACATGTTTCCCTCTACCTTTCCATAAAATTACTTTAAATTTGTCCTATTATTTCCACAAATTAAAATAAATTCTTAAAATGTTTCTATTTCAGTATTGGCAATTCAGTTCATATTTCTCTATTGGTCACATTTGGAATTGGCACCACTCTTTTAAATCTTCTAGCAATCAGACAGACAACTTGAGATATATCATTTTGTAGGCAGCGACAATTTGTGTTATTTATCCACAAGAGGGGCTTTACGACCTATTAGTTTAAGTGAGCTGACACATTTAAGGCCTCTTTCACTCCATTTAACTGTTGCATCTGACTGGAGCAGGAATGATGGCGAAGATCTTGACCTTGAAACACTGGTTGAATTAAAGGATTCAAGTGGATGATAGAAGCAGTAGCTGGGTTAAAGTGAGGGCTAAACAAGGTGGGGATAAACGCTGCAGGGGGCAATGGCTGGAGAGTTATGTGAGATGGCTGGAATGGGGCAGCAGTGACTAAATGCAGGGGATGACCCGCTAAGAAAGTGGGGTGTGCAGGGATGATAGTGGGCGTCAGAGGTGAAAATGGGAATGGATTAAAATGTGGCTGCGAAAGAGGATGTAGATGAGCTATAGGGAGGTGACTGCTATGGGAATTTAGGGAAGCAGAAACAAAACGCTGCAGGAACGTGTGGTGGATGGTGGTGATAGACGCATGCTGGTGAATTGGAACTGTCTGCACAGCTGAAGCCGGAGAAAAGGCAGTCGGCCCTGCAGCGGGCAAAACTCGAAGATGCTTTGATAGGAGCTGTTTCTGCACGTGCTGCTGGGCTTGTAGCTGGAGGAGCTTGTATTTATCCATTTCATCAGGAGAAAATGTTATGGGCTGTTGAATTAAAGGTGGGGAGAGAGATTTACGACACACTTCTAATTCATCAGCTACTTTGTCATGCTTCTGCATAGTTCTGTCACAGTAAGAGCTGATACTCCCCTCTACATGATTCATATGCATGCTTACATCGTGTAAGTCTAGATTTATTTGGTCCTCTTTGGTCTCTGTTGAATCAGTAACACCAATATGTCTATTCGATGGAAAAGCACCAGGGAAATCATTTGATACTGGGTCACAGCTTTGAATAAAAGGTTGGACCTCACTAATTAAACATTTTGATTGTTCTTTTGTCATTGGGTTCTTTTTCATGTTTGGTGACTGAGACTCAGCTACTATGTGAATGATACCTTTTGAAAGGTAACGATCACAATCAGTGTCTGCTAAAACAGTGGAATTATTTGTCTGCGAACTTTCAACTCTGTCTTTCTCAATAGTTCTTTGCGTTGCACTGCTTTCTTCGTTTCTTCTTCTTCTTGGGTTCTGTATTTTTTCAGACAAAGGCAATGCTAGTCTGGTACAGCCCGGTGGTGTGAACTGAAGTGTGCATTCGATTTGTGAATGAGCCTCTGATTGATTTTTACAACAGTCTGAAGAGACCTCAAAATCAGTTGCTCGTTCCTGGCATTTCTTGGCTTGTACTCTTTCCAATAGGCTCTTGGCTGTCAGGGCTGTCCTCTCTCCTCCTACAGCATTCAGCTCTGCGGTTTCTAAAGAGCGGTTAGAGGAGTTCCTTAGAAGACGGCTGCGATTCCCGGAGTCACACTGCATGGGCTTTACTTTTCCCGGGTCACAAACAAGAGGACTGTCCAAAGACTGTTGACTTCTTTCACCTTTATTTAAGTGAGACATTTTCTCTCTTGAGTAAGAGCCCAATCTGCTGTGCTGAGGTGCCTGGCAATGAGGTGGGTTTTCACTGTTTCCAGCACCAGAAACCTGTGCGCTGGAATCACAGTGGATGGTTCTCTTGGATTGTGGCCCTAGACCCTGCTGATTTTTGCCCGGTTTATATTTTTCTCTGCAGTGACCATATCCATATTTTGACTTTTTTTCATTTTTAACTGATTCCCGCAATTCGCAGCTCCTAGCTCCTTGGGTTTCAGACTGTGGGGACTCGCTCGTTGCCAGCTCATCAGACAAGCAGAGACAGCTGTGCTTTCGACGTTTCCTTTTGTGCCTTTCAACTGAGTTGTGTTCTCTTTTACAAAAGCAGAGCAAATTCCCTCTGCCGTGACCACCGGACCTATGATTTGAACAAGTACTTCTGAAGCTGGATGTCCTGCTAGGGGATGTGTCTGAAGGGCTAGAACGTTTATTCAGAGACAACTTTGGGGAACTTCTCTTGTAATTTCCTCTTCCACAACCAGAAACACTGCTGGTCACGCCAATTCGGTCACTATTCAAAATTACGCCGAGGTCCTTCTCATGGTCACTGTGGCCCCTTAGAGGGTAAGGGCTAGAATTCCAGGTGGAGGGATTCTCATCTTCAAAATCTAAATGAAGATCACTGGAAATCAGTGTATGCTTTTTAGTCCTAGAAACACAAGGAGAACAAGATAGGCCCTCATTTGCATCATTTAGAGTTACCCTTTGGCAGCTTTGCAAATGGGTCCTTGAAGGTTCTTTAAGTTCCTTATCACTATCATTACTGTTTCTTACACAGTTCTTTACAGCGAGATCTAGGTAAGCAGGCACTTCAGGATTTTTCATTTCCAAATCGCTTGCACTAAAATTATTTTCATTCATATCTGGCTCAGCACTGTTGTAGCCCAAATTATATTTTCTCTGGAAATTTTCCCAATCTGGATTGGCTAGTGTCATCTTTGGTTTCAGAGACTTATTATCTTCTTGGATCAAATTTTGTTGGTCTTCGATTAAACCTGAGACTTGGTTCTGTACCGTAGTCGGCATTTCCGAGGGCTCTTTCAGCAATTCTGTTCTGAAGTCCTCCGGATCGTTGCCATCACTCCTGTTTCGAGAAAGCTTAAAATCAAAATATAATGGGTTGCAGCCATAAGAGATACAGGGCTCTGCTTTTGTAAAGAGAAGTAGTTCCGTAGGCCATTGGAGAATGGTGTGGCCATCTTTGCTTTGGACGTGGAGAAAAGGCAGTGGTTTGGACTTTACATCATGCGGACACGCTTCTCTTACAAGCCTTTGTACACTTCTGCTAACTCTTTCTGTTTTATCTAATGCTTTTTCTCTCTTCTCTTTTCTGGAGTTGGGATTCAGATGCAATGTACTGCTTTGTTCACTTGGCTCTCGTGATGGAAACTCATCCACACATTCAAATATCCTGGCATTACTGTGCTTGTAAATGTTCAGTAAGCTGGAGGAAACATTTCCTTGGCATGAGTGATTAATGCAGTGTTCTGAAGTGTTCTTCGATGTATTTCTGGTTTCTTTTGTTCTGCTGGAAGGAGTAAAATCCACATCTGAAAGACGAATGTTAGCTTTACTGAATGAAGCATGAATGTCAATCGAATCTTCTAGTGTTTCATCAACAGAGTCATTTTTGTCCTGCAAAATTTGAGAGCTTATGGAGAAGGTATTGTGTACAACACTTTCCAGATGGCTTGGTGAGATGTTTCTATCTTTTTCCTTAGAGAGGCGTGTCTCCTCATTTGCAAACCTGCAGCACGTGCACTTCTCTGCAGTTTGTTTTGTTTTATAGATGGGCGACTTGTTACAGTCGTGGCTTTCTTCTGTGTTCTCACTGAAAACTGATGCTGAAGATTCTAATTTCAGATGCACTTTTTTGGAAAAAGAAAATGATACTCCGGTCCTGTGATTTGCACCGCTGAGATCTGAGGATGTTTGTGGTACCCGATTTCCAAACAAATAACGTCTGTCTGTTTGTAGCTGGTGTCGATTTGGAGTGGTGGACCGCTGTTTATCGGAAATGCTTCTGGAGAGATTCTTTCCTTTAAGGAGAAGTGCGCTCTTCATGCATGATACCTTTCTGCCATTCTTCACGGGGAAAATTCCTTGCTGGAGTTGCTTTTCTATGGCTATCCTGGGGGCTTTGTATGCTGGTCCACTTCCAGAAATACTGTAAATACAATAAACATTTAAATGATTAAGACGTCAGATTTGGAATCTTATCTATATGTGAACATTTCATAGTTTTTCTATGATGGGTTCTGTTACTATTTATGAACCATGTCTACTGTGATGTAACCATTTCACTGTGCTTATGTAACTCAGTATACTTATGTTTTACAGCGGCTATTCTAAAATGCGTCTTTAAGTGGATTCTTTTGAGATTAACAAAAACCAATAGCAGGTGAATATCTTATGCAAGTGCTGCAAAAGAAAATAAAGTATTGTATTTACATTACAATACATCCTTCAGAACCTATTAAGTCTTTAGAATATAGATTTAACATTCTTTTGTAAAGGGTTTTTCAATCAGTGTCTTCATTTAAATAGGAAATTAAATGGAATTAAAAGTCACTTCCAAAGTATAAACAGAATCTTTTACTTGCTTTTTTGTTTAAAGTTCTAGCATTTTATAAGTTTTGTTTCGTCAGTTTTAAAATTCCTTCCTGTTTGTGTCTCTCTGAAGTGGTGGTTAGTTCTTTATTTATGACATGTCACTAATAGGACTAATTATAATAAAGTAATACACACAAGCCATCTCAATCTTCAGAATCCGATTAGTCTGAAATCTTCTTTTTGCTTCTTACTCACCAAAATATTTTCCTTCTGCCTTTTTCGCATATATATGTTTTATCTTTTAACAGATTTTAAAGATTATTCATTCTGCTGAGCTTAATTAGTAATTCAATCAGAAAACTGGAAACAGCAATACATGTAAGAGAGGAAACTCTTTAGATTAAAATTATCTCTAATGTTCTACCTATAAAATCCCAACTACAAAACAAACCTTATTGAAGGGAAGGTGATACAAATCACATCATTTATCTGATCATTTGCTCTGAGCTGGCTTTATATTCTTTTCTTTTTTTTTTTGTCCATATTCTTTGATGTGTTTTTGTTTGTTTTTTTTCTATTTTAGATTTTTATATCATTTGTTAAATAATACTAAACCAACTGATTTTTTTCCACATGTAGCTTAAATTCTAATGGGGAGGCACATGAAAAAATGCTCAATACTGCTAATTATCAGAGAAATACAAATTAAAACTACAATGAGGTATCACCTCACATCAGTCAGAATGCCATCATTAAAAAGTCCACAAATGATAAATTCTGGAGAGGGTGTGGATAAAAGGGAATGCTCCTACACTGTTGGTGGGAATTTAGTTTGGTGCAGCCATTATGGAAAACAGTACAAAGATTACTCAAAAGACTAAAAATACACTTACCATATAATCCAGCAATCTCAGTCCTGGGCATATATCCAGAGGTAACCTTAATTCAAAAAGATGCATGCACCCCAATGCTCATTGCAGCACTATGTACAATAGCCAAGACATGGAAACAACCTAAATGTCCATTGACAGAGGATTAGATAAAGAAGTTGTTGTATATTTGTACAATGGAATAGTATGCAGCCATAAAAAAGAATAAAATAATGCCATTTGCAGAAACATGGATGTCCCTGGAGAATGTCATTCTAAGTGATGTGAGCCAGAAAGAGAAAGAAAAATACCATATGATATCACTCATACGTGAAATCTAAAAAAAAGACAAATGAATTTATTTACAAAACAGAAACAGACTCACAGACATAGAAAACAAACTTATGGTTACCAGGGAGGGAAGGGGGTGGAAAGGGATAAATTGGGAGTTCATGATTTGCAGATACTAACTACTATATATAAATAGATACGCAAGTTTATACTGTATAGCACACGGAGCTATATTCAATACCTTGTAGTAAGTTGTGAAAAAGAATATGAAAACGAATACATGTATGTTAATGTATGACTGAAGCATTGTCCTGTACACCAGAAATTGACACAACATTGTAAATTGACTATACTTCAGTAAAATATATATATTTATACATTATATATATATTATATGTAATCCTTTCTGAGCCCTTGGTCTGAGAAATTCTTTTTTAACTGCCTTCACTTCTAATTGTTCAGCCAACTATCATAGAACTTTGATGCCATATTCCTTTTGTCCATCAAATTTCATGTGCTTTGCATCACTGTCTTTGTATGTTTAATATTACAGAGACATATTTAATTAGCCTCCTTGTATTCATATTGAAACAAATCTACTTGTGCATTTGTATGATTTTATAAATTTTCCTTTTTATTTATATGCTTTGTTATATTTATTACATCCAGTAAATTATGTGTATGTAAAAGATAATTTACTTATATAATACATAATTACATGTATAACATTTTACCAGACCATTGTTACAGATTGATTTCTTCTGCTTAATTTTTTCTGGGCACTTTCAATTCAACTTTCTGCACTTCAGAGACACTTTCTTCTCTTATTTCTCTGATTATTGCTTCTTTCCTGTTCTAGTTTCTTATCCTTAAATTTATTTGCTCTCCTGAATATACCTTTACGGTCTTATCATTTATCTTAGTACGATAGTATCTCCAGTCTTTTGTTCTAGTTCAGAAAAAATTTTCATTTTTAATTTCTATTTTACTGACTCAATTTTGACAAGGTCCATTCTGTTTACCACACCACATGGGTTTTAATTTATAAACAATAATTTTAGCCACCAGTCTTTAATAATTTTAGATTGTCCTCTCTCCATGAATAATGCCTGTAGCTTTAGAGCTGTCCTGTTTCCTTGAATCTTGTGGAAAACTAAACTTAGAAAAAATTTTGAAGTGTATTCTGTTTCTTACTGTTACTCTTTCCTAGTGAAAACTTTCCTCTTACTCATCACAGTAATCTCTGCTTTTGAATCATTTAGATATTCTTTAGAGAGAGCATTTAGGCATATTTAATGTAAGGAAAGAAGAGGAACACTCTAAGATGGTATACAGATTACTAGATATTTCTTTTAAAAATAAAGGAAAATAGAAAGCCTAGAGGTTTACTATAGTTATCAGTCTTTTAAAAAAGTGCCTGCAGCCTGGGGATAGAAGTATAAGCTTCAGAAATCTCTGCAGCACTGAATTTTGCCTCAGTGCCAAAGCGATTCTTTTCCGTATTTGTAGAGTAAGATGGAGAAATGCATCTGTATTAAGTTACCTTCTCCAGGAACTTCAATCAATCTGATATCATCTGCATCAAATTTAGCAAAAACTATTTCAAAAGCCTGGTTGTATGTGTATTACCATTCTACTCTTCCTGGTTCCATTATGAGGCAGATATTTGATTATTTTTATATTCTTTCTACTTTTTTCCTTAATAACATTGTCATTTATTATCCTGGCACTGTTTTGTGCGTTTTCTTGCTTTGATTCATGTTAGTCTAAATATTCTTTTCTGTATTGATGTTTTATTTTACCATATATCTTCCTAATATGTATAAGCTTCTACCTTTCATATTCTTTCAAATATTTCCAAACCTCTTTGCTCTTATGGTTTCTATAATACATTTTGCTCTTCTAGTATTTAGTTCTTGCTCACATGTTTCAACTCAATCTACATTTATGATTATTTTTTTACAAGTTTAACATTTCATCCTCATTATTAATATTTTATACCTCATGCTTATGCTTTAAACTTTTTATCTCTTTGTTTTATAAATTTTAATTTTCCTGATCTTAAATCTAATTTCTTTTTATTATTTTTGAAAATTCCAGTTTTCTATCTTTCTGGTATTTTAAATTCTATTATGTTAACACAAGTTTATACCTTATAACATAACTAAAGGTTTACTTTCTACAGTCATATCCTCATTTATGATTTCATTCCCTCCTTTAGGACATTCTTTAGCTTCTTTCTGTATTTTTTACCTAATTATTTTTATTTATAATTAAAAAAATGACATTCGTTAGCCTTTTAGTTCTTCTTAATGGATTGTCCATTCCAATGGTTCTAAAAAAATTCTAATTCTTGGTAACTCAATTTAATTCTCTCTTGCGCAAGAAGTATACTTTCCAAATGGGAATCAAAGCATATCAAAAACATGAATTATTTAAATGACACAATTTTCTAACAGCCCACATTATCCAGCTCTTATATAAGGAAGTTCATATTCTCAGAATCAGTGGTCCCGAAATTTTTAAAATTTGAAAAAATGTCCATCTCGAGACACACTACACTAAGACTTACACATAGTAGAAGTTTACAAAGTACATCTCTTCCCTCCCACAATAAAATAATTGGTTTTGCTGAGGAACCAGGTTAAGCTGAATTACCCAAGAGCTGGCTAAAGTTGACTGCCCTTTATAAGATCCATTAATAATTTCCTGTCATCATTTTTTTTTTATCAATCTGATTCAAATATTCTGACTACCAGTAAATTGACCTCTCTCCTCCGGGGGGTTATGGAAGAAGCTTCCTGTTATCTGTATCATCTTACTCAGAAGCCCTTATTATGAAAATAAAGGACAAAGAAAGGTTATCCACGGGATAAGTTAAACATGATTTTTTTTTTCATTTGTCATTTCAGCTGCCAAAATGAAAATATTTAATGATGCTATTAAGTAACTTCCCTTAGGCCATGAGGTTGCTTAAGCTGGGAGGACAATCGTCTGGAGGGCAGATGGTGGGTAATAGAAAAAGAATGAAATAATTTTCCTACTTTCAAGTTCTGAATCTGGAAAACTGAATACCTGCCTATCATTTCCCTGAAAATACGATTAGATTGGGACCTAGAGAGGATACACCTTGGTTTGTGTCTGATTAGTTAGTAAGAATTCCAGAGGGACAGCTCAACCCCCAGAGAATATATCTTTTAATTTCTTTTAATTTGGAAGACACTTAATGGGTAGCTCTACAAACATAGAGCTTTTAAACAAAAGCACCATCCTCATCATTGGCATCTTCATCAAGGCTCCTCTGATCTTTTGTCTATTTCTTCCAAAGGAAACTGTGGAATGGGTGAGGAGAAATGCAGAAGTGTGACAACTTTCATAGTAACAAAAGAACCAAAGTTATATGTATTAAGGCTACTCAGGTTTTCTGTTTTGGGCCATAGAGAATGTATCTAAAGGGTGTCTTTCTGTGTTAAGGCTTACCTTGTTTTTATAATCTGACTTTTTGCATCTCATAATTAACTAACCAGGAATGAGCATCCTCTGTCCATTTTCTCCTGTGTGCTACCCTAGTAACCATTAGACTTTTCCTCCTCAGTCCTGTTTTGACAAGAACTGTCTGATATCTTATTGACAATGTGTTTGAAAAATATATTTTAAGATCCTTATTGTATTGGCAGGTACAAAGCTCAGTACCAAATATGTGGCCTGTTTCTATGATTGTATGCTACATAAGAGCATGCATTTCTGTATTAACCTCACCTCTGAGGGTGGGAGTATAGCTTATTGGTAAAGCTCATGCCTAGCATGCATGGGATCTTGGGTTTAATCCCCAATACTTTCTTAAAAAAAAAAAAAAACAGAAAAAGAAATAAATGAAATAAACCTCACCTCTGGATACATGGTCTTCCAACCTTTTCTCTTTATATCAAATTTCCCATTTATTTTTAATATGATTATTTTTTGTCTTTTTATAAGCTAATTAAATTATTCTAAGATAATGGTACAAATATATGAATATTTTCAAGCTGAACACTAACTATGCTTTTACTCATAATTGATGCTAAAAAATAAATATTTTCTTAAGAGTAAATATGAGGTCTAACATTTTATGCTACTATAATTGAGTCATTCACTCCCAAGCTTATTGTATAGTGTTTTTCATTTAAACAATTGGGGCTTAAATTCTGGCACAGAGCAATAAATTTCACAATTCACCAGGTTGCTGTCAACGACATTAATTAGCTACATTAGTGTTCTACATTATGATTCATATGAACACAAATCACAGTCTGCAAACTTAATTGAGTTCCAGGTAACAATCTCCTCACTTTGAAACATTCAGCAGTTCCAAGCTTATATAAAAATGCCATTTTTCAGCTACAAGAATGTATTAGTGCAATGCTTGTTATAATTATCAATTTAACTGCACGGTGTGGTAAATTTAACTGCATTAATTACATCTTATTTGTCATCCAGATAGTGACAGTACCATTTATTCTAGATTCAGGTGTGTACAAAGGAATGTACAGAAGACTTATTTCCTCCTCAAAAAGAGGCATTGTTATTTGTGGTTTTTAAAATTATTATTACAAAACTTAAAATAAAGACCTATGTATCTCCATATGAATCAAATGGATAGAATAAATGCTAAAATATTAGAATCATTCTTGGATCACTTCACCAAAGAAAATAGTAAATTAACAATATTGGGGGGGGAGGAAACAGATGTCAAAGTAATTAATTTACCAATCTTTAACTATTAGGAACATTTGCCTTAAGATAGATCTGTTGATTAATTATAATTTGTTTACATTATTACAGTGAACCAAATAAATTTATTACTGAAATTTCCCCAGAAGTTGAAAGGATTTTTGAACCACCTGAGGCACCTCTAATTCTTACCATTCAGACTGTTGCCTTAACTTAGCCAGCTGATGAAGTCGCTTAAGTGCTTTTTCTTGTTTCTTTTCATCTTTCCAAGACTTGGAAGCTACATTTCGAGCAAATTCCCGTTGCTTTAATTCTTTCAGTCTCTGTGGACAAAGAAAAACAGAATGGTGACTATGAATAAGTCATATATATTTTTTCCATCTGCAAGCTTCCTTATTAAACTTTGTCCCCATTGTAGAGGTGACTTTCTGGATAGGGAGAGTCGAAGCATCTTCTCCATCAATCCTATTCTCTGCTACAAGATAAATTTAGTTGTCAACTGGGTTATTAATCAAAGCTTGTCACAACTGCTACAGAAATGTGCTGCAAAGCTGGACTCCAGTCCTTACCAGGACTGCCCTGGCTGCATAACTCCCATCATGTGTGTGTCTGTGAAACATAAAAAGGGGAAAATGTGTGATATATGAATGGGTATAAGGGGAGAGGAAGTTATAGGATGCACTTTCCTCTACCACTATCCCCAGCCCTCTCACTTGTAAAACATACCTACTCTTTTTTAAATTTATTTTCAATTGAAGTATAGTAGTAACCTATAATGAAAAAGAATGTGAAAAGGAATATATGTATGTATGTGTATGACTGAAAACATACTTACTCTAATTCATGAATATTGGTATGATTAAACACACTGGTTGAAATGAGCTTGTTTCAATAAAGAACATCTGTTATTGTGAAAGCTTTAGTTCAAAGCTCCAAAAGTAATTTTCAACTCATTTTCGTAGTGGAGATATTTAGTCAATGCAGAATTCTATATTGTATCTGGAGGTCTAAAACTGCAGCAGGGATTTAAACTCAGGATAAGTAGGCTTGGCCTGGCTTAGGTTAAACTAAGCTACCACTTCTTTTAATGAATCTTCTCTCTAGAACAATTGGCTTACATGAAGATGGGGTGCTCCTCATTATCTGTTGGGATTTTTCCTTCAGAATCTGTCACTAAGTGCAACTAATGATATTGAACAAATTGAGAAACAGCCACAATCAAATGAGCATCTTGAAGGTTGGGGCTTAATCCTGAATTAAGAGGATAGTTGAAGACTAGCCTCTCTTAACCCGTATAAAGTGATTTTTAAACTGCCTGAAATCTGTGTCCATTTAATTTGTTTTTATTTCCCAAATCAAGTATAAAAAGCTATTTTCCAGGAATGGCAAAAAGTACACAGCCACCAAATGAGGTCACAAAATTGTAGTAGACTATTTTCTACCCAGAGAACAAGGGCCAAGACCTTTAATGATCATTAGCTTCCTTCTTGAAAGGAAACACGCTCACAGGAGATGGTAGCCAGATAACTGCTTCTAGGCTAAGTATTTGAAGAAGGAGGCAGCATATTTTTTCAGAAAGAGAATAGTCTGAGCACAAAGAACAAGAGTTCCACAGAACTAGGAACAGCCACAGGGAGAACAGTGGAGTCAACATGAATTCAGTTACAGACAGATGCTTCAGAGCCTTTTAAAAAACAGATTTCAAAAAAATTAAAATATGGCCCATATTTTATCAGAAAAAAGCAAGCTTCAACAATTCTCTAGAGCAGATACAGCACAGGGTCTAAGCCTTCAAGGTTAGCCTTGCTCAGAAGACAGAGAGGCTTATACAATCCCCATTTCTACTTACCGCCCTCCACATACTTCCTCAGCTCCCTGGTGCATAATAATCTAGCTCTTGGGGTGAAGGCTTAAGAGCAAAGACCTTCTGGAAATTGTCCAACATAATTTAAGAGCCCACAAAGAATGCAGTTCAACTGTGTCAAACAGAGGATGGCTACTTTGATAAGAGGAGAGGGATTTTTTTTTTAAACTCTCAGTTACTACCAAACATGAAATGCTCTATATTATATTTATTTAATATTTGATACTACAAGTACACAAGTGTGGATAGCCTAGAACAGGAAATTGATTCATTAACTCACAGCATTTGATACTTGACTCATTATTGGAATCTTGTTTGAAACTTCCTGGTATACCTGTTTCTTTCACTGGCCTCCCAGATTCCAGGAAAGCACTTCTATCTTGGAGTTACTGAAACGATTGAGAATTCTGTCCCATTCATCCAACAGCAAATGCTGTTAACTCCTAGTATGCAATGGGGATATAGCAATGTACAAATCAACTATTTTTCCTTCAAGGGAGACAGACAAATGAACAGGTATTTTTACAAGATAGTGTTGAGTTTCTTAACAGGAGTGGACACAAGATGTTTTGGAAGCATAGAGGAAAAGATGAGATAGATTGAACGGGGATGGAGAAATGCTGTGATGAGGAAGTCAGTAAGGCTAGAACACTTTTAAGGAACACATAGAACTGGAAGAACATATTGAGTCACAGTCTTGGCTTGGTCAATGCTTAGTGCTCAAGATTACACAAAGAAAAACCCCCAGAAATGTGCAGAAGATCCCCTAAGGTTTTCAGCATACTGATCAACAGTGTGTGTGTGTGCGTGTGTGCGTGTGTGCGTGGTGTGCGTGCGCATGCGTGCGTGCGCATGGAAATTATTCCAGGCCAAGGGAAAATAACACCTGAAATAACTAAAGGAAACAATGCCTAGCATTCACATACAACCAAAAATAGTGCCTGTTCTTATCAAAAAAAGCTGGGAAAGCTCTTGGGGTACTGAGTAGAGAATTCAGAGGTGTTTTGTTTCAGTAGAGGAGAATCAGCCATAGATCGAACACTACTTTACGTCTGCCTAACATGAGAAAAGCAAGAAATAAAAGTACATCTGGTTTCAAGTAACTTAACTGCATTTCTGAACCAAATTTCAGAATATTTATAAAAAAACAAAAATATTCAATAAACAAGGAAAAATTAATGACACCTAACATCCAATCAAAGATTTTTAGGCATGCAAAGAAGTTAGAAAACACAGCCAAAAATGAGGAAGTCAATGAATCAAAACCAATGCAGAACTCACACAGATGCTAGAATTGGCAGAGAAGTGCATTAAGACAGTTATAACTGTATACCGTATGTTCAAAAAGTAGAAAAAAAGACAGTGAAAAATTGTGTGATTGGAGTCCCTGAAGAAGGAGGAGAGAATATTTGCAAATATAATAGGGAAAAATATTCCATAGTTTCTGAAACTCTAAATTCACAGACCACCCCACCATTCCCACAAAACCTCAAGCACAAGAAACATGAAGACAACTACACCAAGGCTCAATATAATCAAATTTTTCAAAATCAGGGAAAAAAGTGGAAATTGTAAAAACACCCAGAAAGAAAAAACGTATTTCTGTACAGAAGAACAAACAGCAGGATGGCAGAAGAATCCTCATTGGCAGCAAGCAATTCAGACTATAGTGGAGCAAAAGCTTTGAATTTCTGAAAGAAAATTTCAAACTCTCCAAAATAAACTTCTATAGCCAGTAGAAATAGCTTTTAAAATTAAGGTGAAATGGAGATGATTTCATATATTAAAAGCTGAAGGAATTCAACAACAGCACATGCACATGATAAGAAATGTTAAAGAATATAATTGGGCCAAAGGAAAATATTAACAGATAGAAATGTATGTCTACACAAAAGAATGAACACCAGAGATAGTAACTACCATGATCAACAAGACATATTTCTCATGATTGAGATGTATTGAGACTGCTGTACAAAAAAGTATATGCTTTTTGGCATTTATAACACATTTATAAATAAAATGTTTGACAATGATAGCTTAAAAGCCCAGGAGAGGAGAAATGACATATAATGTTGAAAGGTCTTATTCTATATAGGAAATAGTATAATAACAATTAAGGTAGACTGTGGTAAGTTGAAGAAAAGTAGTATACAGCCTACAGCAACCATTTAATTAATAAAACAAAGTGTTTTAGCCAGTAGGACAACAAAGAAGATAAAAGGAAATCATTAAATTTACTCAGCCCAAAGAAATGGACAACGGAAATAAAAATGGATGGGAAAATTATAAAACAAATAGCAAAATAACAACAAAATCTTAACATATCACTAATCAAATTAAATGTAAATGGCCTAAACATTGAAATTAAAAGGTAGAAAACAGAATAAAAAGGCAAGGTCAACTATATATTGACTACAAAAGCAAACTTCAAAATAAAGACAAAATGGGTTTAAAGAAAAAGTTGTAAAAAAAAAAATCAACATCAGTCAAAAAAAAAAGATGGAGGGGCTTTATTACTATGAAATAGAATATAGATTTTAGAGCAAAGATATATGACTAGGAATAAGAAGGTATTTCATAACAATAATGGAGTAAATTAGTCAAGATAACAAATAAGCCTAAATGTTTATGCATTTAATAACAGAGCTTCAAAATACACAAGGCAAAAATGGATAAAACAACAAGGAGAAAAAGTTAAATCCACAATTATAATAGGAGCTTTCAATGCCCTGCTACAAACTTGCAAGAAAATGTTAATTGCAAATGAGACAAGAGGGAAGGTGGCAGGGCACAATCATTGAAAGAATGACACAGACATTGAGGACAGGACATAAACTGGTTAGAACCAAGATGGCAGAAGATTCTACTTCCAGTAGACACTGAGCCTCATTATAGGCTCATTGTAATACAGTAGCACGCTAAATGACACACCCATTGGCACCATGATAGTTCTGAAGCCAATCATAAAGGGCAAAAAAGTGGGCAAGGTACCCAATTCCTGGGGATCACCTCCCCTTCCCCCACATAGCTGTAATAATCTTCCTATTTGTTAGCATAAAAAATTACCAAGCCCATAAAACTAGGCCCTCACACCCTAGGGCCACTCTCACTTTCTAAGATGACCCCATTGCCTGGGGCACTCTGTCTTCTGAGACAGATTGCATTTTGTCTATGGAAAGTGCATCTAATAAATTCTTGCTTTAATTTCTGGACTTCCATGTCTTGTCTCTGAACTCTTTCTGCAATAAGACAAGAACCTATTCTCCAGTAACACAAATAGAGTATTTCTGAAACAGGTTTTATCAAGGTGATCATGCCTATTATCAAAGACCCTTCGAAGAGTTGATTTGTTTAATGAAAAGAGGATTGTTTGATCCTGGAAAGAAAAGGAGGACTTCTAAGAATCCAGAGGTCAAACTTTGCCAGACTCAAATCATAATTCAGTTTGGGTTTTCATGG